TCAAATTGATTATATTTCGTCATTCTGCCGTGAAATTAAAAATATATGTCGTACAAAATAAGCACAAAAATATAAAAGCAAGTGTATTATATTATCCATGTTTGCCTTCCGTTTCATCAAAAAGCGCATAAATTAACACCGCATGCTCTCCACTTTACCACGCAATAACTTACCTTGCCGAATTTGGAGAGTCCTCCAATATGTGGATATTTTCCCGGCTCGTCAACCTTACAGCAATCCGCCCTACAAAGGTAAAGCAATAAAAAAGATATATAYATATATACAATGTTTTACATATATTTGTATGTACACGAGGGCAAAAACGCCAAATGTGAAATACATTAATCCACATTAAAAACGCRCTGCAAGATGAACACTTCTTCACTTCTGGAAGTGAATTTCTCATCATCATAATTTGAGTAAGCGAGYGCTGGCACACATACACACGCAACTCATATGCAAGGGAGTAAAGTGATGCCTAACAGAAGAAATGAAGAAATTTGTTTCAGTTGAGTGGTTTTGTTAGCGCTATATTTGAGACTACTTTCGTACTAGTTTAATGAGGATTATTTTCGATTATTTTCTAGGCTTTGTTAGTCATTGCTCGCAATAAATTTTTTCAAGTTCAAAATTTCTTACCCAAGCTTGCATAACATTTATGGTTCACTATAGTCAGAGGCTTTCTAACATATCTTAAAGCAACCTAACTAGAATCACAGATTTTATAAATAAGGACAAAGACACGGAGGTCGCTTTTATATTTTAGGATTTGGCGATCTTAGTATTGCAATTTGGTAACTCACAACTTTATTGTTAAGTATGATATTTTTGTTGTTGTACATACAATACTCAGAACGTATTAATATACGAGCGCTATTAGTGTTGCTTACAGTTACTTAAAATATTCATCTCAGCTAAAAAATGCAATTAAATCGCTAACATTATTTTTTATAACTTTCGACGTGGATTATGACAACTACAGTGCATYSATGAGCTTAATTCAATTTTTCGCTTCATTATGAGCTAGTGTTCATGTGTGGTATGGTGAAACCAAAAGAAATCGTAGATCACTTGAGGATAATTTTCGGGATTTTKCAAAATCAGTTGTTGTTCGGGAAAGTACTGATGCTGTGCGCAAAATGATATTGCGCGATTGTCATGTGATCTATTGTTGAATTGAGGCAAAGACGGGCATTAGTGCAGCAATGGGAGCTCTCACACATCAACTGAAACAACTGTATTTTGGAGCATTTAAAACATCTATTTTATCGGTCATCCACCATAAAATACTGTCTTAGCATCGAATGGCTTCCGTATATTCCTCTACGAAAAATATGATAAAGAAATCAACGTCTTTCGATACGTAAGTAGGAGGTTGATGCGTTGAGGACGTATCTGCTGGAGATCCATCAATCTGTGTAGCAACAATTCTTCGACAATAAGCTCAAAAGTATGAAAAATATTTATAGATTTTAATTGAGAATATTTTTAAAAACAATAAGACATACTTTTATGGTTAATATTTGGTCTCGTTCTCTAATCTCGATAGCTATTGTGAAAGCTGGCCAGGCAGCAATCAAGGCTGTATCCACGGATCGTATATCGGCTAGAAGTAAGGACAGGAAGCAGGACAGCAGTGAATAGTGTTCCCAGCAGTAAGCAACTTTACCGTTGGAACKAGCTACCGAGGTACAAAACTGCAAAAGTCTTTTGCAAAACGGTAGATCGGAAGTACAGGAAATTCTTAAYGGAAGTCGGTAGATGAGACTGTAGGAACATGATGACTTGAATACTAACCTGTCCCCGCCTGATGGCGACACACGCCCGCAAGATGGGGCTGACAGATTGAGAAAAATGCAGCAAATGTCTAGCGCAGGGCACCAGAGAAACAATTTAGCMTCTTTTGTGCACTTGTCCCGCATTGACAAGACCACGCTGTAAGCAGCTGGGGTCCACACAGTTTGATACACAGTAGGAGGTATCGACAGCGAGGCCACAGACGGCTAAACGATGACTACTCCTCTTGGACTTAGCAAGTAAACTCCATCTGGTATCATAAAGAACCAACTGGTTTATAAGTGGCTTATTGACATACCAGAWTAACATAACCTAACCTAATTCTGAAATATAAAATACAACTTAGTAATAAAGTCAGGAGCCTATCTGCCCATTTCATTGCTTCATTACCCCGTTTATTACAGAAATTTAAACACCTGGCGTCTCATGTATTGGAAATGCTTGCTTCTTTTTTTGTTACTATAAAATCGTTTACCACTTCGATAACTCTTACAACGGAAGTAACAACTCACCATCACGGAAATATACTTATCTGAKCAGCAATGCCGCTGAGTTGCTTTCCTTCAAACAATATGAGAGAGCGTTGTCGCAACCGTTTCTACACTGGGTTGCTTTTAGAAGACCTTTGGGTGTGCATGTGTGAGCATAATTTCGTCGCAGATAAACTCATCAAAAAAAATTTAAGTATCTACATGGATGCATGTGTCATTGAATAGATTCATAGCATACGCCTGCCATATATTATTATGGATAATATTTATCACACACCCACAGACGTATACATATATATATATATATACATGCTACTGTACTTACATATACGGATTAAAATGCTGCCATTTGGCAAGCCGAAAAGAATTAAAGTTGTGCTTTGAAAAGTATTAAAATATTTGAAGTATCTCAAATCCATCCACCTGTGGACTAATGGGTTCGCTAGGTATGCGCCATATACACTTATACAAGTTTATTACAGGAAATGTTAGAAGCAAGGTCGACGGATATCACAGATATGAAAATGCGCACATTCAACCTTTTTTTACTTTTTTTTTTTTCTAAACCGTAGTTAAGCTATATGTGGGGAGTAGCAGTTTGAGGCTCTACCCCAGCAAATTGTGTTTAAAAGATATTTTTAACGGCCGTTAGACTCTCAATGGACAATTCTGCAATTTCATTTCATAATATAGCAAGTTAGCTTTATAATATTTTTTTCAGGGAATACTTGAAGTAAAAGCTCTAAACTTTTTAATGAAAGCTACTATGTTGTTTGTCTTGCTTTAAAGCTGTGTTAATGAAGTTGGGTTCTTTTAAAGTAATGGAAACATTTACAATAAGACTCGACCACCCGATTGACTCATTCAAACTTATGCTCGCGGAGTATAATAATGGTGAACCAGCGTTTTTCAATAGACTTTTTGACAAATCACGCGTGAGACGTGTCAAGCTGTCATTTCATTTTTATTCAGTTTTGCTTGATATTTTATCGTAGAAGGGCTTACGTCTGAACAACATTTATCCGTTCAACTTTATTACGGAAATTCGTGTGCTGTAAAGAACTTATTTCGCGCATTTCGCTCAAMTTTMTGGTATACAAAATCGGCYTACTGARCGACACCATCACYCATCTTGAGACCCAGCATTCATTATTGACGATGATTCACGCTTTGGGCCGGGCCATTGGCCACCAAGATCGTTTKATATCATACCRTTAGACTTTTTCCTGTGGGGATATATAATGTCTGAAGTCTATGCGAACAATCCCGCTTTGATTCAGTCCTGCGAGAAAAAAATTTCACGCGTGTAAAAAGGTAGCTGAAACTGGTGTATAAATGACTTTTATATATCTTTTGTTTGCCAGCCTACCCGAAACAAGAACTGCATACACGAAATGCCATAAACCAWAAATGTAAGAAATACATATTGCTGTTCTTTGGAAATAATTCTTTCGATAATGTTGCCGAGTACTGTTCTCTGTACATTGAAATAGGTAATGACTACCAATGTAAGCCTTAAGCCGAAATTTGAAGTCGTCTAAATCTATCTTATATATAACGGGTATGCCTTAGTGCGTAGTAGACAGTACATTTCACTTATTTGAATTCCCCTCTCAAATGAGCAGTTATCTTAAATATTTTTGAAGACGCTTACAACTTAAGCAAAGTTACTACTGCCCGACGACGTTGTGTAAGCTATCGCTGACGACATAATATCAAAACACAAATTTCTCCTCGCAGGCGGCAACGAAACAATATATGTATTTTATTTCATTTAATCGGTTTAACGTTGAGGCATTCGCCATGCAATGAGTAAGCTTAGTATGAAGTATACATTATTGCTGGTCAGCGTAATAGGCTTAGCGACTTAATTTTTCTATGACTATGTGCGCTGTCGACATATTAGAATATTTACAAGTAGTATGTCTATTATATTTGCATGCATTAAGTCGTTTTTTAGGCTACAACAATCAATTACCTCGCACTACAAACCAAAGCCTCTGTTTTAGTTTCGTTGTTTGCCCAATGAGCTTATATATCTGGTATATGACTGTATTCGTCATGGATGGCCATGTTTCTAATATGATTTTTCCCATCTCGGATWGTCGTAATGGGTTCACGTTTTATTACCACCAAAACTCCGATGCCAAAACGACATCCTTTTATTGTGTTCAGACAGCATTTCTGATGTGCAAAATCGTCCTTCCATGTCTTTAGGCTTTAATTCATATATCACCCAATTCTTACTTTTGACTGCATCCGGCTACATTTCAGCGTTTTGAAATGTCTGCTTGAGTGATTCCTGAAAATTCTACGAACTCTTTTGTTGCTTCCACTTTCTCATCTGCAAACTTGTTTTGCCGTCAAAGGAGTTCTTCGTCTTCCGAGCTAAAATCACAGCTCTTTTAATGAAGCTTGTTCATTATAAACTTCCACCAAAATATCTTACATATTTTAATTTTTTCATTATTGAAGAAACTTCGACATATTCGGAATATTGGAACAATTAAAAAATATTCAAGTTGCGCCATTAGCAAACCATTGGCATTTGGCAATTGGCAAACAGTAAGATTATTGTTATAGAGCTAATATATGTATACATAATACAGCTTATATATATATACCGCGGACGATTTTTTATACCCTGAACAGGGTGTATTAAGTTTGGCACGCAGTTTGTAAGCTCGAACAGCAATTACCCGTCTAGAGAACAACAAAGCGACGGATGCTGATGGATTGTCGGCTGAGTTTACCAAATACGGCGGCGAAGAACTGATAACGAGCATGTATCAGCTACTTCGTGGAATATGGACGGACGAAAACATGCTTGAAGATTGGAACTCAAGTAAAATTTAACGATTCAAACGACGTTAGAGCCGCAACAAAATCCTTAAGCCGCTACACCGCACTAACATGGTCGACTGGATGCAGTGAAATGCAKATGAGGGAGCTACAAACATGTCCGAACACGAAACGAACGTTTTCCATCGAACATCTGCACAGTGAGGCCCGTATGCTTCCAGTTAARGAGCTTAATGAACACTTCTCCAAGCAATTTCTGCTGGGATGCTTTTGCAGAAATCTTTCTCTGCAATCAACTGCTTGCAGTGGAAGAGCCACGCAGGAGCATGAAGCCGACCAGACTTCGGACGCAACAAGCCGCAAATATGCACTACCCGCCATTTACAGTGGACCGACTTTAGTGAATGGCGTACTTGGGGTCAAACAACCACTCATTGGGCTGACTTTATGCCGCTATGTCTGAATTTGGTATCCCCGCAAAACTAATACGGCTGTGCAAACTGACCCGGAGCAATAGCAAAGGCTCCGTCAGGATCGGGAAAGACCTCTCCGAGCCGTTCGTCACCAAACGGGGTTTTCGACAAGGCGACTTCCTATCGTGCGACTTCTTCAATGTCGTTTAAATCAACTTCCAGTAAGGCAACAAAATTTATACATTGAATTGGCGCTTCAAATCTTATACGCTTACACTTTCTTTTRCATTTAAAGTTTGTCATATTTTGCGACCCTTCTCAAAAAAAAACACACACACAAATTAAATGGAAAAAATTGCGAATATTTGCAGGTTGTGGGCAACCAAACGCATAAAAAAACTGCTTTACATAATGTATGTGTGCTTCCAACTGACAGCACCCACACACATACACACCTATAAACATGCCAACAAATACATTTTGTATGCTTGCATAGATTTCTGAAATTCCCACAAAATACCCAAATATCCTTATTTACACTTATGAAAACATACAAGCACATACACACATGTACAGACACACACATATGTATGTAMATRCAWTKKCACAMACACACAAGCTTACCATGGCGTATTGCAGGTGTGCGTCAGTGTCAAATAGCGCGCGCCAAGCTGATAGAACATACGTAAAACGCTAAGGCTGGTGCCAATCGAATGGCCACCCTCCACTCCAATCAGGCTGGCAATTTTTCCGCTTTTGTGCACCTCTTCAATTCCTGAAAGTAYAACACAAACACAAAATATTGTTAAAATGTTGGCAATACTTGGAAGTGAAAGCGTGTCAAAAGAAATATTTAAATATACTTTAAGTGACAGTTAATGGTTACATATATGCACACATATACACAAACACATAAAGCCCACTTGGGCTCAGATGTACTTACTTTAACACAATTTTTTATAATTTATTTTAAATCATAGTCATTTTAAGGTTTGCTTAAGGATAACTAAGGTTTTATTACTCTACTTAAATAGCATTTACGCACATGTCAGTTACAGGAATGTATTTCCATTAAAAAATCTTCAGAGAGAAATATTTTGTTTACTGCTCTCTTATTTTCCAACGCCAAAAAAAATTTCTCTCAACCTTCTTAGCTTGTTCCGAAACAGCAAAAAAGTTTTGGCGAAATATTTTTTGGCATGCACTTCATTTATTTTTTAATATGGCTGACGATCTACGCAATGCATTTCTCTCCCTTCCAAAGGGCCAACCAGTAGTAAAATGTCGAGTATCATTGTAGAATCGAACACACTACGGACAGTGGTAAAACTAGTTACGCAAAAGTATTGTTAAATAAGCACGCACTAACTTACTTATCTCACAATGTGAGGAAATTAAGTAACACTTTCTGTAGGAATAAAATTCAGTGGATAACGGGTTTTTCAATAGGGATGCTACAAACGTATACCACTCTTTTGACATTTCTTTTCAGTAAGATTTTCTATTTCATTGTAGAAAGATATACGTTCCAACAACGAGTCAAAATTATTAAAATTTACTACCGAAATTCGGAGTCACAGGCCTCAACTTTAAGAGTGCTACGTCCAAATTATAGTCGTCATAATCGTCCAGTCAGATCAGCAATTAAACGTTTAGTAGGAAAATTTTAATCCGCAGGCACAGTACAAAATGTTCTCGTGCCAGTGAGACACAGGAACGCCCATAGTGTTGAGAATATTGCTGCCGCTGGCGCATCAATTGAGAGAGACCCAAATCAGTTTCTCACACGTCGTTCTTAAGCAATGGGCATCTTTATGACATTATTGTGGCGAATATTTCGAAAAGATCTCAGCTTACATCCCAGATCAAATTGACACAAGAACTGAAGCCGTTTGACCAACAAAATCGTCGTATGTTCTAGAATTGAGCTGGCAACAACTTGGAAATGATCAGAATTTTCTTCGAAAAAACATCTTCGGCGATGAGACCCATTTCTGGCTGAATGGCAAAGTATGCGTTATTGTTCAGGCAGCAATCCACATGAGCCACCATTACATCCCGAAAAAATTACGGTTTGGTGCGGTTCATGAGCCGGCGCCATCATTGGTCCGTATTTCTTTCGTGATGATTAAGATCGCCAAGTTACTGTGCATGTGAATCGCTAACGCACAGTGATAACCGAATATTTTTGGCCGAATTGGATAATATGCACTTAGACAATATGTGAGTCTTATCTCTCTTATCTCACGCAATGGTCCGGTTAATTGGCCGCCCCGGTCGTGCGATTTGATGCCGTTATACTATTTCCTGTGGGGCTACGTCAAGTCTATGATCCATGCCAACAACCGACGACGATAAATGAACTTCGAACGAATATCGAACGTGAAATTGTCGCAATATCGGCCGATTTATGCTTGAAAACCATCGAATATTAGGTTCAGCGTCTGAAGTGATGCAAGCGTGTCCGTGGTGATGGAATTGGAAGCATTAATCGATGAAGATGGTTTCCAAAAACAAGAAGAGAATCCTTGGCAGCCACTCAAACAGTCATTTCTAAGCCATTAAAAGCAGCTCTGATACAAGGAAATTTGGTGTCAATTGAATAGAAGCCAAAATACGTTGTAAATGATTTTGCATATCCAAAATGCTGTTTGAGAAAATAAATCGTTTTTGCATTGAACTGTGACTGTGTCTGAGATAATGCCGGATATTTTTTTGGGATCAGAAAGTTGTGCTGTATTATGAGTTTTAGAATCTAGTAAACGTAATAATGGGGAACACTAACGACAAGAACACAAACTATTTAGAAAACAACGTTTGGGAAGTTTTGCCTCAGCCGCCCGAAATCTGGAACGCGGCTCACGTCAGAAGAAAGTTTCGAAAATTCTTCTGTCCACAAAATTTTCAGAAGGACGAGAAAATGAAACTGTAACTTTAAATAAAATTGCGGCGGCTTTCTCTGCGCCCTGCGAGGAAGCTTTTGAGTGGAAGTGTGTGAAATTCATTGGAAGAGGGGAGCAGAAAGCTTCTTAATGGATTGGTAAAAATTTGGAGAGAACATGGTACTGGGATATATTGTTAGGAACTGCCCATCAACTTCAATTTCGGACTTCCTGACTACTGCAGTATTTTTCAAACCGAGGTTGCTGTCACTAAAGAAGCAGTAGATTTACTGCTTCGGAATGCAACACGCTCCAGACACATAGATTTTTGTTCTGATAACAAAGCGGTTCACTAACCATTCGTTCAAGGCTCGTTGAGGCATGCCTATCGATGGCAAAAATAGTACTAGTACGTTTGGAGTGTCACAACGCAATTGCAGCCCACCGTAAAGCCGATGAGCTGGCATGAAAGGGCACTCTAGCCCCGCTAACAGCAAAATGGGAATGTATCGGTGCTTCCCTCTACTCTTGTATTACACTACTACGGGAACTTGGGTTACCATAGGTTCATGTGCTGTAGCAAGATTATTTTAACCCAATATCGAAAGATAGAGACCCGATATTTTTTGGCCTCAGTAAGGCTAGTCTTTCCGTAGTTGTGATGGTTCTGACAGGCCTTTGGCGTATCGGCATTTATGCTGTAAGGTTGAGAATCTTACCGGACGACAGCAGCGGTCTCAGCACTTCATTGTACCGCGTTTGTGAGATCAAGACTTAAACACTTGGCAGCTCACACTTTCAAATATCCCACCGAACTGATGGGAATAAAAATTAAACGTCCGAGCAAATTTTTATTGGCCACAACGCGCTTGCTGACTTCTAAGTAGTAATACAAAGTACGGAGTTCGATTTTTAAGAAATTAAAAAGAAATACATATAGTAGTGCGATATTTGGTTCGGTCAACAAAACTAGCCTAACCTAAAGCTTCAGATGATCAATGCTTTATATATAAGCATACTAAATGTTGTCGACTTATTAAACGTTCACATTTTGAATGACGAAGGACGTTAATTGCCTGAACTATGTCAATATCGTTGTATTATATGTATATCTCAACTCATCGTTCCACCACATGCCTCTGCACCATATAGCAGGACGGGCATAATGAGTGACTTATAGAATTTTGTTTTTGTTCGTCGAAAGAGAACCTTACCTCTCAACTGCCTACTCAGTCCGAAGTAGTACCTGTTGGCAAGAGATATTCTGCATTGGATTTAGCTGTTGATGCTAGTTCCAAGATGGACGAAATTATCTACGACTTCGAAGTTGTGACTGTCAACAGTGACGTGAGGGTCAAGTCGCGAGTTCGACGACTGTTTGTTTGATGGCAGAAGTTATTTCGACTTGCCCTCGATCACCACCAAAACCTTAACCATGCTGGAGAAAGCAGAAGTAAAGGCACAGTTGTTAAGGCCAATGATATCAGTATCATCAGCATACGCCAGCAGCTGTACACTTTCTCCTATGAACTGATTAACATCAAGTGATATTAAAATACAAATTTTTTGCAACTTATTTGTTATTTTTAATTTTTACATAGTAAGATCAAAAAGAGATCAAAGAGCAGCGTCCTTCGAAAGCAACGCCATTTGCCAGATAAAGTGAAAGCCAACAACAAATGTATAAAAATAAATTTATTAAAGTCTGCTGGACCGTTTCAAAAAATTAACATTTCATAAACTCCACATAGACATATATACACTACAGGTCAAGTGAAAAGTCTCCGGCGTTATGAGAATTTAATTCATCCACTTAATTCAGCAACTTAAGTTTTTGTGAAAAAAACGGAAACAAATTTCGCGGTTTCATAAAACATTGTTTTTTGAAAAGAAACAAGTAAGGAAGGGCTAAGTTCGGGTGTCAGCGAACATTTTATACTCCCGCATGACAAGTTTCATCATCATATCTCAATTTTTACTCAAGTTACAGCTTGCAAGGACGGATAGACAGACATCCGGATTTCAACTCTACTCGTCACCCTGATCACTTTGGTATATGTAACCATATATCTGACGATGTATACCGTTATTAGCAACTTTATTGCGAGAGTATAAAAATGATGACCTCTGAATTACATGAAAATATCTGAGACATTTACCGATATTTTCCGTGAAAAATTAGGTTAGGTTAGGCACTGAGTCCTTCGTGTTCGATATCGGACCTTGAAAAATTATAGTCCGATCACGACAATTTTTCCACAAGGGATACCTCAGCTCAAATACCGTATTTGTGTAARGTTTTATTCCGCTATCATCATTGGTTAATAATGTATATATTATACAGAGAAGGCATCAGATGGAATTCAAAATAGCGTTATATTGGAAGAAGGCGTCGTTGTGAACCGATTTCACCCATATTTCGTACATGTCATCAGGGTGTTAAGAAAATATTATATACCGAATTTCATTGAAATCGGTTGAGTACTTCCTGAGATATGGTTTTTGGTCCATAAGTGGGCGGGGCCACGCCCATTTTCAATTTTTAAAAAAAGCCTGGATGCAGCTTCCTTCAGCTATTTCTTTTGTAAAATTTCGTGTTTCTGACGTTTTTTGTTAGTCGGTTAACGCATTTTAAGGGATTTTCAACAATAACCTTTGTATTTGAGGTGGGCGTGGTTATTATCCGATTTCTTCCATTTTTGAACTGTATATGGAATACCTGAAGAAAACGACTCTGTAAAGTTTTGTTGACATAGCTATAGTAGTTTCCGATATATGTACAAAAAACTTAGCAGGGGGCGGGACCACGCCAACTTTTCAAAAAAAAAATTATGTCCAAATATGACCCTCCCTAATGCGATCCTTTGTGCCATTTATTTTTTATATCTTTATTTATGGCTTAGTTATGACACTTTATAGGTTTTCGGTTTTCGCCATTTTGTGGGCGTGGCAGTGAGCCGATTTTGCCCATGTTCGAAATTAAACTCCTTATGGACCCCACAAATACGTGTACCAAGTTTCATCATGATATCTCAATTTTTACTCAAGTTCAGCTTGCACAGACGGACAGACAGACATCCGGATTTCAACTCTACTCGCCACCCTGATCACTTTGGTATATATAAACCTATATCTGACTCTTTTAGTTTTAGGACTTACAAACAACCGTTGAACCGTGAACAAAACTATAATACTCTCCTTAGCAACTTCGTTGCGAGAGTATAAAAAAATGTGTTGTACTACGGTAGGCCGAGGACTTTTCATTTGATCTGCCACAATACACATACATCGTTCTGGCAGAAAATTATTATAAATTGATAATCTTCTCACTGCAAGTCAATCGAAAATATGAAAAGCATATTTTATTATGCGCAACTGAATTCCTTTGTAGAATATTATTTCCATACATTTCATTTTGCACAATTTAAAGAATTTCCAAGAAAAGGAATCAAAGTTATTTCACAAATGCTGCACAGAACAATTGCCTGCTGCATGACGATGATGTGAGCTCATCGGTTGACAGCCGCATACAGCCTTCCCCACTTACGTACTACTTATAACTAAATAACGGTATTATATATAAAAATCATTTGACTTGCAGCTTACCTGAAGCATCTGTGACGAAAGTCATTTGATTTGGATACAAATTCACCAGACGTCGTATTAAGTCTATTTGCTCCAGCGTCAACTGTACGGCGTCCATATGCTGCGACGAGCACGGTACATATGCCGACCAAAACTGTTGTTGTTGTTGTTTGTCGTTGCAGTTGTTGTAGCAATAGATAAAATAGAAGAATACAGAGAAATTTACAATGTAGAGGCAACAAACAATTTTACATTTATGTGTGTGGTATGTGTGTGTGCCTGTGCGCTTAGTAAGCAATAGCCCGGCGAACGAAACAACAGCGAAAAATGCATAAAAATATTTTAGGAAAAAACAAAAAAACGACCGGTTATCAGTCGACAAAGTAAATTTGTGCAGCGCTGGCTCCTTGCTAGCTTTGTGTGTTAAGGCAAGCTTATGAAATACCGAGCGAATTTTGCCAGGCTACCTGTTGAGCGCCGCAAACTATGCAACGGGATGTGCGAAAAAAAGTGTGGAATGCCAGCAAGTCACTGCATATGAGGCTCTGTATATGTATAGGTGTGTGTGTGTGTGAATTGCATTTTTTTTTTTTTTTTTTTTGCTGTCTATGTACATACCTGCGCCGACACCATGCCCTCTTTCAATCGCGGCAAATCGGTGTGACTCCAAGCGCTCGCCGACCATGGCAACACCTCACGCAAATCGCCGGCAAATGGGAAATCTTGCAGACGATTTTTCAAAAATTTTCGTATATTCCATGCCAAATCGTTGTGTCTGCGTTGCGTTGCGGTGGATAGGTAGTGATGGCGGCGACGGCGTTGCAAATAGAAAAGCATAGAAAACAAAAGATATGTGCGGTTAGATTGGTGTGAAAATACATTTTTGTCTGGCAGCTGGGCGATTTCTTTTAACCATATCATAGACATACGTAACTGTGTGTATATGTGTGTGTGTATAATAGTAAAAGCTTTGACTGTGAAAAGCTGCATGTAATCTAGAATTGAATATAAATTTATGAGTTTAACTGTAAATTCATTTAACTTGCTGAAAACCTTAATTTGTATTTACTTAAGATTAGATGAAGTTAGGATACGTACAGTAAAACACTGAGACATTGTGACCACACAAGGAGCATTTAAAGTGGTAGTAAGGAAAACAAATGGTGTCAGAGAAATGTGTCCTACGATGACACGCCTTATACTGGAATTGGAAATTTGGAAATTTTTGGAATTGGTCAAATACTGTACATTAAAATCACGAACTCACCTAAAAACAATATTTCGGAATGAAGACACACGCTGCCAAATTTAGAATTTTAAGTTCTTAACAACAGATAACAAGCAGGGCACCATTTTCGTCTAAAACATAGGCACTGAACCATTTTCATAACTGTCGAAGTTAAATAAGCGGAGTACTTTCAGATTTTATTCTCTCAAAACCACTCAACTCGACAGTATTCTTCAAAATTGTTTGGTGACAACAAGCAATCAGGGAGATAATCGGAAACCATGTTCAATGTCATTTAACACCATTTAAGTCAGTGAACCCATACTCTAACGGAAGTTATAGGAAGTATTATATAAATATATTCTTTCGTGGCTGCTGCCGACCACGCATTCACCAGAAGACACGTATAATTTCAAAATTTCCACCCAAACGCGGGACAGTCAAGAAACAAGTTTTAAGAAGTTTCCACTTAGTCATCTTCTATACAATTTCTACAGATGGTCTCCGGTAAAATTCCCAACCTTACAGCATGGACGGCTGAATAGGGTAATGGTCCACACCGACGTAGAGGCTAGTCTTACTGATGGCAAAGGATCCCTAGATATCTTGCGATCGATTTTGGGCCAAACGGATTTTGTGACATCACAAGTACCGATGAAGGCTTAGCGCTAGTCAAGCTGCCGCGAATCCCAGCACTCTAGTAGTAGTCTACTGATAGCGGTTATGAGGTACTTTTCATTAATAGCTCATCTGATTTACCATTGCGTGCGTTTCGGTCGTAGCCTTGCACCCATATCGGTCTTAGCACAAAGAGATTTATTACAATTAAAAAAGAAAGGTTAGGCATTCCTTAACCAACCCTGAAGTAGAGTATTAAATCTACTGCTTGCTTAAATTCTGCAACCTCGGCATGGAAAACACTGCAAGAGTCAGGAAGTCTGAAACTGAAGTTGATAGCAGGCTCCTACAGTAAATCCTCCTCCAAGCTTTGACCCATCCATTAAAAAACTCACTGACTCTCTCCGCCAACAGCATCTTCCCATCTACTACTCCCACGCTCATTTGTCCAGGCTTTGTCCAGCAAGTGGTTGGACTGAGTCGATTTATAACGGAGGATAGAGTTATGAGTAAAAGTTCACGAAAATTGGGAGTGGCCAGAAAGAATTCATTTACGTATGGATCAAGCAGCTCACGACTTCCGGTCTTTGACCAAATATCCTCTGGGTGGCATAAGAACATCCGTTTGAAGGTGAGCTAAAATGAGAAGGTGAAACATCCCCATACATAGGGTTGTGCCCTGGGTTTCGAACCCATCACGTAAAAAATGCACCCAATGAGGTGGTGAGATACCCCTCTTTTGATAACGACCATGTCAAACGAATTAAGGATTACCTTGTGGCATTTACTACAGTGGCCATCTTAAGGAGGAATTTGGTATGGGAAAGCGACGCCGTCGCCGAGTACTGTCATTCCCCCCGGTGAATGAACGTCTAGCCACACTCCGTCTCAAAGCGAAGTTCTTCAAAATACCGCTGATTTGCGCCAACGCCCCGACGGAGAGAAGGACGATGTGACCAAAGATGCCTGCTATGAGCGCTTGGAGCACACCTTTGAGAGCCGCTCCCGCCACTATATCAAAATCGTGCTTGGCGACTTTAATGCCAGGGTGGGCAAAGAAGTTATCTTTGACACGGCGGTCAGTAAATTCAGCCTCCACGAGGAAACATCTCCAAATGAGTTGAAACTGATCGACTTCGCCGGGGCCCGAAATATGGTTATTTGTAGTACTAGATTGCATCATATGAAGATTCATCAAACCACCTGGCTGTCCAGGATCCAGATCGATCATGTTGTGATAGACAGAAGGCACGTCTCTAGTGTTTTAGATGTGCGTGCGCTCCGAGGTCCTAACATAGACTCGGACCACTATTTTGTTGCAGCCAAGATTCGCACCCGCCTCTGTGTAGAAAAAAACACACGCCAACAAACACAAAAAGATTCGATGTTGAGTAGCAGCAATCACAGCAGATAGCTTCTGAAAGCACTCGTCAACAACTCAGTATAAGGGAACTGTGGGACGGCATTTCAAGCTCCTTACGTATAGCTGCAACCGAAACCATTGGTAGAACCCCCAAAGGTGATCTAGTAGCCGATGCTCAGAGCATACTTAAATTATGGAGGGAACGCTTACGGAGCATACTCGAAACTATTTTTCAGAATTGAAAGATTTCGACTTTTTTAGTGACTTAAACCTGAAAATCTTTTCTACTAGAAGATATCGTCGATTAAAGCCAATATATCCAATATTTTATTTAGTATTGCAAATGAGCTGTTTCACCTCCTACACTTCATTTTGCATTTTATCTCGCATTTGCTACTTCCACTTTTTCAACATGCAATTACTAAATAGAGCGATTGATTGCATCCGCTGTGATATTCTCGTTCGTTTTTATCATCGCAAAGAAAAAAAATCGTTATAAATTTTTATAGCTGCTGAATGAGCTGACTTCAAGGGCAATTGCAACTACAAATACAGATGGTCAGCAATCAGAATCGCTAAAAAATATACGAAATTTTATTTCCCAATATCAATAAACGAGTATTTTATTCAAAAAGTTTTTCAATCATATCGCCTGAAGTGGAATTAAATTCTGATACTTAACTTCGTAGGAATATTATAAGGCTGCTTGATGGCTTCGTTTTTTTCTTAAGTATATGTGAATACATTCGGATCTCTGTTTGGTCTTTCAGAATTAGAAGTTCTACTCAATTTACAGTTTAGTGAGGCAAACTAAGAAACTATAGAGCTTGTAACACCGTATAGCCAAGACATGTGAGGTTAAGTTACGTTAGGTCGTAGAGTTAAACCAAAAATGAATATTGTGTTACTCCACAGATCGAAGAAATGTTTTGAGCTCACGACAAATATATTAAGGCAGCCAGTATCAATCCCAGCCACTTTGCCAGGTTCTCCAAAGGTGTGTCTATATTTCAAAATAAAACCGGCGAAAGCTGGGCAATAGAGGAGGAGATGATGATACCTCGCCTTCGTCTTATAGTTAATTTTAGTTCAGAAAGGTCTCGCGGTAGCACAAGTTCCAGTTGTTGACCAGCGATTACCGAGCTCACAGGAATTCAATAGTTTCCGCAAGAGGTCAATAAGACATTGGAAAACTGACTCGCTTCCATTCGGATGAAATTGAAGTAAATGTGCATGCTCATCGGCTCTGTAATTTCCTGTGAATCCGTTGTGGCCCAGCACCCATACAAATTTAATATGGAAGAAGCTTTAAGCTATTACTAATGAGGTCATGCAATTCTTGATCCATTTTGACCGTAGATTCAGCGAGCTCAAAGTCAATATAGCCGCTTTGTTATCGGGTGAATGCTCACATCTCTGAAGAAAACTGCACTTCGGAGCATTATATCTTCGGCTAACTTGATGGCCACCTCCTTTAGAAAGACTACTAAATTCTGATAAAGGCCGCTGCTTAACTCGGCCCCCACCAGACAACAACTCCTTATAATATTATTGGCTTAACTGCGGTTTCACAGAACCTGAATACCACCTTTGGTAAGAGGCATACAAATATAAAACGAACAATGCCCTCTTCATGCTCTTCTCGATGCTTGGCACGCACGAAAACTTTCTGTCACACAGATCAAGACAAGCGGTCAGCCAGATTCCCCAGATTACATACCATAAACCCAGCACAACCTTTGGTTTGTGATTTTTTTTTTTTTTTTTTTTTTTTTTTTTTTTTTTTTTTTTTTTTTTTTTTTTTTTTTTGTGCATTCCACAAATTGTTTCTGAGCCGTATCTCCAGAACTTTAGCTATGCGGTATGGCCTTGAATCAGCTGAAGAACTCTAAAAATATAATACTTTTAATTGGCCGCTTAGCGAATTTCTTTATCGATTATAAACTTTTTCTCCACGTTGAACAAATATCCTGCCACCAAAACCAATATGCCGTACATCCGTTCTAAGCTGACGTGCTCCTTTCATCTCTTTTACATAATGTATTCTTAATTTTTTTTTATTCTATTTCTATATTTTATATCTTTTTAACTAGCTGAAACTGAGCCAAATTTTTTAATGGCCACATATTATATGTCAAGTTGGTATTGTTGCCACTTGGCGCTAAATAAACTGAATATACTCGTGTGAACCGGAACAATTTTGTTTAGCCAATTTTCTGTCAATAAATGCTTTTTCGACAATGTCAGTGTGGGCAGCTAATAAATATATACATATGTAAGGGTGGTGCTAAGCGAATGTTAAACGTCAAGGCGACATTATGTTGGTTCGTTGCCAATTAGCCAATATATAGTTGTGTAATATGTGTGGCGGAAACCAGAAGGGGCACAAGGATAACTAAGTAGTTAACTGACACTGACTAAAAAGTTGTGTGTTATATTATTACGAAAGAAAGTTGATATATATTTATATCTATATCTTCTTCTTCACTGGCATAGACACCGCTTACGCGGTTATAGTCGAATTAACAGCAGCGCGCCAGTCGTTTATTCTTTTCGCAATGTGTCG